CTCAACTCCCTATCGTAGCCCCAGCTCCAACTACAAACTGGACAACAAACCCCTGTCCCCTGCAGAACTTCAACTATACCAGCAACAACTGGGTTGTCTGCTGTTCGCTTCTGTCACATGCCGACCCGACCTCTCGTACATCGCCAGCCAACTGGCACAGTACTCTCGCAAGCCAGTAGTCGAGAACCAGCTGGACCTGGAACGCGCCCTGCAGTACTTCATCTCCACACCTGACATCGGGCTCTCCTACTCCACGCTGGCAACAACCTCCTTCAACCTCAATGGCTACGTGGACGCAGATCACGCCGCTGACCCTGCGAATCGACGGTCCCGAACCGGCTTTGTTTTCCGCCTGGAGCCTACTGGCCCAATCTCCTGGAACTCGCAGAAGCAGGAACTTGTTGCCCTGTCATCGGCCGAAGCAGAATACATCGCCGCGACAGCAGCAGTTCGCGAAGGCCTGTACCTGCAGGAGCTGCTACAGGAGGCGAAAATTCCAACTTCGCCCACCTTTCGCCTTCACTGCGACAACCAGAGCGCCGTCAAGATCGCAAATAAACCAGGTTTCGTGAACCGCACGAAGCACATCGCGTTGCGATACTTCTTCGTCAAGGACGAAATCGACCAGGGCAAGGTTGACCTCGCGTACTGCCCGACAACTGACATGGCAGCCGACTTCCTCACCAAGCGTCTGCCACGTCAGCAGTTCAAACACTGCTCCGACCTCACCGGAGTGGTCAAGCGAGTCAGCACCCTTCGCGTCCAGGAATGAAGGGGAGTGTTACGATACGAAGTTTTATGAGAAGGCATTCCTGTATGCTGCAGGAGCCGACTCTACCGAGTACGAAGTCGAGGAGTCAGAAGAATCGAAGCGACACAGCAACCGTCTGACCAAGACCGATGCGGGAAGAAGCATTTGAAATGAAAAGAGCGGGAACAGGTTTGAAACCGATTCCCGCGCCGCACGGTTTGAATTTCGCTGCAATAAGGGAATGTACCCCTTAGAGTACATGGCTAGTCTAGGTCGTTTCGCATTCCTTTGTCATTCTATATAAACCCTATGTATGCATGCTATTATCAATCTCAGTCATTTACATTCACTCTGACCTGAGTTCAATACTTCCGCTGCAACACTATTTGCGATCAACCCAAGTCCCACCTCAGATTGTAACAGTTTCAAAGGATCCACAAACCATTCTATAATACACCATGCATATTTGCATCTCGCAAGATACCACTATGCTACTCTTGCTGTAGCGGTTGAAAGTACCCCCCTCCTCCATGCTGTGACAGCAATGCCCACCTTTCCCCACCCCACTCCCCAACCGCCCTTCGTCTCCACCGCCCACCCCAAGTCCTTCCTCCCCAAACAAGCCAAACTGTGCTCCACCCATTCCCACTCCTCCCCCTCCCCCACCACCTCCCCCAACCCCAGCTCCTCTGCCTCCCCCTCGTTGACCCCCACCCCCCCCTTCATTGTCAGAATCCCAGCCACTAACCACTGGGATAAAAGGGCTTGTTTGTGTAGCGGGTGAGTGCGCCCATAACCCCCCAGGCCGACGTGCTTGTAACCCTTCCCTAGGATCAATCGGGGATCACTAGTGGACCTCTGACACCCCCCCGCACTGGGATGCCCGAGGTGCACACACTGGGATTCGAACCCGAGACCTTCGCTCTGATACCATGTCAGAATCCCAGCCACTAACCACTGGGATAAAAAGGCTTGTTTGTGTAGCGGGTGAGTGCGCCCATAACCCCCCAGGCCGACGTGCCTGTAACCCTTCACTAGGATCAATCGGGGATCTCCAGTGGACCTCTGACATTCATCACTGGACCGAACGTGCCGGACCTCGCAGAGCTCCATCCTCTGCTGCCAGCTGGCGGGGATTTCGGCTCCTTGTGTCTGCGTTGCATTTCCAGGAATATCCTGAGAAGCGATGGACTGGCTAGTGACGAACCGCTTCTGTCTATGCTGCTGCTGTTCCTGCTGGTGGTGGTGGCAGCAGTGGCGGTGGTTGTGGTTGTGGTGGTTGTGGTGGTGTTGGGAAAGGACGCATTGTGGTGGTGGTGGTGTTCATTATCACTGTTTCTCAAGCCGACCGGTGCTGCAACCTTGTGCTTCTGCTGCTCCTGCTGCTCCTGATGGTATGGCCATACCTGCTCCTCCTGCCGCTGCCATTGCCATAGATGGCACTGCTAATGCTTGGCCAACTGCACGATGTTACTGCTGCTGTAGAGGGTAAACTACCGTGTAAAATAAACATTGGCGGGAACACTGACCCATGGGCGGGACTTCTCAACCATTAGAGCGGCTAGAGTGCATGGTATGTGGTGCCTGGGCGGAGGCAGCAGGTGCAGCAGCAGCAGAAGCAGTTGGATTCGGTGCAGCGGGGGCAACAAGGGAGGTGAATCGTTGAAAGAAGCACAGAGAGTTCAGCATCAGCGACGGGGAAGTGCAGCACTGGTGAGAGTGTGGAGAGGAGTGGGTAGGAATGTGAAGGGCGGGAGGACGCTGGTGGGTGATGGGTGGGAAGGGGTGGGGGAGAAGAGGAAATTAGAGTGGCAGGCGCACTAAGTGATGGGAGTAAGGGATATGCGAGGGAGGGATGTGTGAGTGAGTGATATGCGAGTGAGGAATATGCGGGTGAGGGATATGGGAGTGAGTGATATGGGAGTGAGATATTTGGGAGTGAGGGATTTGGGAGTGTGATAGCGATTTGGGAGTGAAGGATTTGGTAGTAATGGATTTGGGAGTGAGGAATTTTGGAGTGGCGGAGTTCGGAATGAGGGACATGGGGGTGAGTGATATGGGAGTGAGGGAAATGGGAGAGAGGGACATTGGAGTGAGAGATTTGGGAGTGAGTAATTTGGGAGTGAGTGATTTGGGAATTAGAGGCATGGGAGTGTGGATTATGGGAGAGAGAGAGATTTGGGGGTGAGTGTTTTGAGAGTGAGAGATATGGGAGTGAGTAATTTAGGAGTGAGGGAATTGGGAGAGAGGGACTTGGGAGTGAGAAGTAAAAAATTTGAGATATGGTTTAGTGATTTGAAAGTGCAGAATGGATATTGGAGTGGGAAAGAGGATTTGGGAGTGATGGAATTGGGAGTGAGTGATTGGGAGAGAGGGATCTGTGAGTGAGTTCTTTGGGGGTGAAAGATATGGGATAGTAAACTGGGAGTGACGGATTTTGGAGTGAGCGATACGGAAGTGAGAGGGAGCGAGGGACATGGGAGCGAGGGACATGGGAGCGAGGGACATGGGAGCGAGGGACATGGGAGCGAGGGACATGGGAGCGAGGGACATGGGAGCGAGGGACATGGGAGCGAGGGACATGGGAGCGAGGGACATGGGAGCGAGGGACATGGGAGCGAGGGACATGGGAGCGAGGGACATGGGAGCGAGGGACATGGGAGCGAGGGACATGGGAGCGAGGGACATGGGAGCGAGGGACATGGGAGCGAGGGACATGGGAGCGAGGGACATGGGAGCGAGGGACATGGGAGCGAGGGACATGGGAGCGAGGGACATGGGAGCGAGGGACATGGGAGCGAGGGACATGGGAGCGAGGGACATGGGAGCGAGGGACATGGGAGCGAGGGACATGGGAGCGAGGGACATGGGAGCGAGGGACATGGGAGCGAGGGACATGGGAGCGAGGGAGCCAGGGAACGAGGGAGCCAGGGAGCGAGGGAGCCAGGGAGCGAGGGATATGGGAGCGAGGGATATGGGAGCGAGGGATATGGGAGCGAGGGATATGGGAGCGAGGGATATGGGAGCGAGGGATATGGGAGCGAGGGAGCGAGGGAGCGAGGGAGCGAGGGAGCGAGGGATATGGGAGCGAGGGATATGGGAGCGAGGGAGCGAGGGAGCGAGGGAGCGAGGGAGCGAGGGATATGGGAGCGAGGGATATGGGAGCGAGGCATATGGGAGCGAGGCATATGGGAGCGAGGGATATGGGAGCGAGGGATATGGGAGCGAGGGATATGGGAGCGAGGGATATGGGAGCGAGGGATATGGGAGCGAGGTATATGGGAGCGAGGGATATGAAAGCGAGGTATATGGGAGTGAGGGCGTTGTGAGCTGCAGTAACGTCATGAGCTCAATGCCCATGTAAGGATAGCTGCAATGTAAGGTAGTACACGTGCGTATAGACGCTGGCTCCTTTTCATTCACCCACAAGGATATTCATCGCATATATGCGTGAATTACATTCCTCTCATAAAATGGAGCTCGGGAGGTGAAAAATGAATGAACCGGTGAATGAACTACAAGGTAGCAAACTCCATAAGCCGCTGTATAAAAAGCATCTCCGTAAGCTGATATGTAAAAACCACCTCAAGAGAAATGGAAGTTGATGGCTTATTGTGTGCCATTGAGGTTCTTACTGTCTGCTTTTTGGTGAAACTAACTGAAATGAGGTGACTTTTGAGTCGACGCAAAATTAACGGAAATGCAAATTCCTCAACGTGACCGTTGTTTCTTGAGAAACAGAGAAATTGGAGGGGAAAAACAATGGTATCCTTTCTCAACATGCAGATTACAAAATAAAATTACGAACCGCTGCATGAATTTCCGCACTGATTAGGCTTTGATGTACCTCAAAATCACCAGCCACTTTGAGAAATCTAAAAAAACATACGCTGAAATTCCGCACTGATTAGGCTTTGATGTACCTCAAAATCACCAGCCACTTTGAGGTAAATCAAAGCTAAATCAACTTGCAACCAAGAACCACCTTCCATTTGCTTCCAAAGCTCCTCTGATTGGAGTTTATGTGCCTGCCTCAGCCACACCTCCTCAGCCAGCAGCCCTCAACGCCTTCCACGACCACCACGCCCTCCTCCCCCCATGCCTCCCCCTCCCATGCCTCCTCCTCCCATGCCACCCCCCCGCATGCCTCCTCCACCCATCCCTCCCCCTCCCCCCATGCCTCCCCCTCCCATGCCCCCCCCTCCCATGCCTCCCCCTCCCATGCCTCCCCCTCCCATGCCTCCTCCCCTCATGACTCCTCCTCCCATGCCTCCACCTCCACCTCCACCTCCACCTCCGCCCATCCCTCCCCCCCCCCCATCCCTCCCCCTCCCCCCATCCCTCCCCCTCCCCCCATCCCTCCTCCTCCGCCCCCTCCGATGCCTTCGCCTCCTCCCATCCCCCCAGGCCCTCCCATGCCACCGCCAGCAGCACCACCTCCAGCAGCACCACCGCCCATGCCTCCCCCGCCACTCACACCCCCGGATGGGCCGCCCTGACTGCCGCCCATCCCCCCGCTGTAATCCCCACTGTAGTCACCATTTCTCCCCCCGTTATAGTCACCACCGTTGCTCCCCCCGTTAAAGTCACCTCCATTGCTCCCCCCGTTATAGTCACCACCATTGCCGCCACCATAGCCCCCTCCAGTGTTCCCCCCACTGTAGTCACCACCAGTGTTGTAGTCCCCTCCATTCCCCCCGCTATTTTCACCACCGCCACTACCAGCACCATAGTCACCGCCGTTGCTCCCCCCACCATAACCTCCCCCAGGTCCGCCCTGCCCGCCCCCAGCTCCCCCTTGCCCGCTCCCAGGACCGCCCTGTCCGCCACCACGTCCCCCCTGCCCGGCGCCAGGCCCTCCCCCGCAGTCCCCCCCACCGCCTCCCCTTCCTCCGCCTCCTGCGCCCCCACCACTGCTACCTCCGCCGCCACCACTCCCCCCACCGCCGCTGCCACCCTCATAGTCACCACCGCTCCCCCCGTTATCGTCACCTCCAGCGTTGTAGTCGCCTCCATCCCCCCCGTTATAGTCGCCGCCGCCATTACCACCGCTGTAATCACCACCCCCATTGTTCCCCCCGTTGTAGTCACCCCCATAGTCGCCCCCACCTCCGCCAGTGCCTCCCCCCGTGCCCCCACCAGTGCCGCCACCCCCTCCCCCTCCGGACGAGGCAGAGGAGCACGCGAAGTCCACTTGCAGCGCGCCACTGGGAGGAGGGGAGAGAGGGGGAGAGCGAGAAGGGGAGGGGGGAGAGACGAAAAAGCAGGAGCATGAGAAGAATGAACAAAGTGAAGGAAAACGGAAGCTGCAAGATGGGTTGGAATGAAGTGAAGAGATGAGTTGGCTCGGACTGTTCTCACTGAGTGGCACTCATAGCTGCCGTGGAAGCTGAGGGTATGCACTCCCTTTGGTGTGGGATCACTCACTCATAGTCGCCGTGGAAGCGGAGTGACTGCGAGCCATCGGCGGAGTGCGCCCACACGAGCGTGTTGCTGCCCTGCACGCTCACCGGCACCGACCCGTCTCCTGCCGTGCGGTTGAACCTGCACACGAGAGGGGGAAGGGGAGATGGCAGCGGAGAATGAGTGTGTGAGTGGGAAATTCAGAATGGAACCCAAACCCTAAAAAGCAAAACTGAACCTGGCACACACCACCCTGAACCCTAAACCATGAGAACAGTGTCATAGATAGAATGGCGGACCCCGGAAAGATAGATTTCCTGAAAAAGCGTCATTGCGTACGTGAGAATGGTGGATCCCGAGGGTGACGTGGCGAGCTGCGCGTTGCCGATATCGAAGCTGCTTGTGGGCTGAACGTCGCTCTGCGCAGTGCCTCTCATGTACACCGCCTGGACGGCGGCGCCGCCCGCCAGATTGCCCACCACGGCGTCGGACGCCGCCATGCGGCCCGTCGCCGACCACCCCACGGCGAACCACCCCGCCGCCGCCGCGCTGCCGCCCGCCGCTTCCAGCGCCAAGGCGAGGCGCGACGAGTCCACTGCGCGCCAATGCAGCGTGAGTCCAGTAGATCCCAGCGCCACCGACCACGCGAACCCCTCTAGAGCCGACGCCGCGCACCCCGCGCTCGCCGCGGCGGCTGTAGCAGCCGCGAAGCCAGCAGCGGCGGTTGTAGCGCCGGTGGTTGTAGAAACTGCGGTGCTGCCACTGTTGCTCCTTTTACCTCCATTGATATTGCCGCGAAGGAACGTGCTTCCTGACGCCCATATCGTGTGCGCTATGGTCCGGCTGCTCGATATCACTCCCTGCGACCGAACTGTCATGTGCCTTGCGGCATCCGTGGCGCTTGGAAAGCAGATCAGCGCAGCGCCCAGCAGCAGGAGAAGTATTATCAGACCGTTGGAGCCAGGCGAACACGCCATCATGCGTCGATGCATCAGGCAATGTTAATTGCGGAAAGAGCGGAATTTCCTAAGTGCTGCGACTCATTAACAGGGTCGTCACGTGTGCTGCTGCAGTAATAGCTGTTCAAACAGACGCTTCCTTCAAGGAAGAGGTTGCGAGACAAGATGGAAGTCCCTACAATTTTTACTGATGAGCCGAGTAATGTGGCACCACAATTTATGCATGCTCTCTCAGTACCAAAGCGCACGAGCAGGCCACAGCAACATCCACACCCTCATTTTTTGGGGAGAATTCACGATTGATTGCGAGCTATTGCGAGATAATATTCTTTCGCTGACGCCGACATTTACCACGGAATGCTCGTGTTGACGACGGATATGGTAACGCGTCGCCGTTTCGCCAAGACCGACCTCCCCACCTCTGATGTGTTGACCACTCAAGCTTTGATTCACGCTGACGTCGGCTAGAGTGTTCGGGGGAGACTCGTTGACTCTGGGGGGGGTTTGACTCGTTGGCCTTGGTCGAGAGAATTCCGAAGAAATTTATATTATTGAGAGGTTCGATTTCATGAGGCATCACCAGATTCAAAGTGATACGTGATACTGTAGATAAATGTAGATAGTGGACAACTATAGTTTTGGTTGTCTAAACCCTGGCGCTCTGTAAATAGTTTCTGAACCAGTACAGATATGCCACAGATACAATTACATCAGATTGTCATGAAAAGAAAACCTGACCAAATGCGACACCCATATAGCATATGCGAATCTATATTTCTAACATATCCCCCCTGATCTCACGGATCTCACGATGAGATGCATGCTTCAATTTACGTACGTGCAATAATGCACATACCAGGTACGCAGTCAATCCAAACACTGCGACCAAACATAATACGGTACGGTGTTGCTACTAATCCTACTGTATATGGTCACAGAGGAACCACACCACAAATCATTGTACCTCAATGCAGACTGCAAGCAGCTGCTGTCCTACTCCTGCTGTAACGATTGAAAGAATCCCCCACCTCCATGCTGTGAATGCGACAACCCCCCTCTCCCCACCCCACTCCCCAACCGCCCATCATCACCACCATCCTCACCAACCGTACCAAACTGCGCTCCACCCACTCCCACTCCCCCACCGCCTCCCCCGCCCCCTCCTCCGCCACCTCCCCCTCCCTGAAACCCCCCCATCACTCCACCAAACGTGCCTGATCCAGCAGTGCCCCATCCCCTGCTGCCAGCTGGCAGGGCTTTTGGCTCCTTGTGTCTGCGTTGCATGTCCAGGAATATTCGGAGGAGCGACGGACCGTCTAGTGACGATCCGCTTCCGTCTGTGCTGCTGCTGCTGGTGGCAGTGGTGGTGGCTGCGGTGGTGTTGGGAAAGGTGGCATTGGCACCAAACCCGTTCATCGTTGCCCCTTCTGCTGATCCTGCTGCTGTTGTTGGTATGGCCACGCCTGCTCCTCCTGCTGCTGCCACTGCCATCGGAATCGCTGCTGCGGCTGTGCCACCGGACCAGCTGTCCGATCTTACTGCAGCCGTGGAGGGTAAATTACCCTGGAAAGGCGTTAGCGAAACTGCGGATTTGTCTGCGATACTAGACTGCACGGCATGGGCAGTGGCTGAAGAAGAGGTAGCAGGGGAGAGGAAGGCGTTGAATGAGGCACTGCGCATGGCAGCAGCAGTGAGCGGGAAAGCTGGGCCTGCTGAGGGGATGGCTGGAACAGCAGCAGTAGCAGTGGGTGTGGCTGCAGCAGCAACAGTTGGTCTTTGTCCTCCTCCCGTGCGCTCCTCTTGGCTGCTTGCCGTGCCAGCTGCAGCTGCTGCTGCAGCATTACTGCTGCTGTGATGGGAAAGTGAGCTGCTCTGAGATGGAATGGCAATGGGCTGTGAAGCAGAGCCTAGGTTCGCTGCTGCTGAAGCAGAGGAAATGAGGTGGGAGTGGGGGAGTGGGCCGTGGAGGGAGGAATGAAGGGGAGGGGAGGAGGAGCGAGAGGAGGGTTTGGAGGAGAATGCAGAAGGATTGGAAGTGAGGTGTGGAGGGAGTGTGGTAGGTGCGAAGGAGGCGGTTAGAGGGATAGCTGGATGAGGTAGGTGGGAGGAGGAGGAGGAGTGAAGAGGGAGGGAGGAGATGGGGGGAGGGGGTGGGTGGAGCATGAAGGGAGGGGGGACGGTGGAGAGACGCGTGTGCAGCACTCTGAATGCCACTCCGTGCTGTGAAAGGGGGTAGGGGGGAGACGGGAGGGAGGCGCAATGGGAGAGGAGGGAGGGGAGAGGAGAGGGAGGAGAGGAGCAAAAGGGGGGAGGCAAGGATGTGGTGGGAAAATGGGACGAAAGTGAGAGAAAGATGGATGGGAACGGAGACAAGCAAACGGAAATGGAGGGAGGAAGAACTTGAGAGAGGGGCGGGAAAAGCGAGAGGTAGAGAGGATGTTATTTCCCAAGAGGTCATAGAGGATGGTGCAGAGCAGGTTGGTACAGTGATAGATGGTACAGTGATAGATGGTACAGTGATAGATGGTACAGTGATAGATGGTACAGTGATAGATGGTACAGTGATAGATGGTACAGTGATAGATGGTACAGTGATAGATGGTACAGTGATAGATGGTACAGTGATAGATGGTACAGTGATAGATGGTACAGTGATAGATGGTACAGTGATAGATGGTACAGTGATAGATGGTACAGTGATAGATGGTACAGTGATAGATGGTACAGTGATAGATGGTACAGTGATAGATGGTACAGTGATAGATGGTACAGTGATAGATGGTACAGTGATAGATGGTACAGTGATAGATGGTACAGTGATAGATGGTACAGTGATAGATGGTACAGTGATAGATGGTACAGTGATAGATGGTACAGTGATAGATGGTACAGTGAGAGATGTTGCAGTGAGTGTGAGGAGTCTATTTCTGAGTCGAATAAAAAATAGACTCATCAGGTTGGTGCAGCGAGTGTGAGAGTACGCCCTTTTCGTCACCTCTCAATAAATAATTCCTTCTCAAAGGACGTCAAAGGACGTCCAATAAATGATTCCTTCTCTCAATTCTCCTCATTTTGTTTTGTAATATTGAGGCGTACAGTCACACTGTATCAATCCATAGAGAACAGACGTGAGTGGCACACCATGAGCATCACATACTGCATATACACGCATACCTGTGGTAGCAGCATGAGCAGTCCGTAGAGTGCTTTCAAGAGAGCAGGTGAACGAGAAGGGTCGAGCAGCTGTTGGGGGGACATGGGAGGAGAAGGAAAGCTGTTTTGGAGGACCAGGGCGTGATTGGCAGCAAGAGGGCGAGAGTCTGAAACTAAGGTAGATCGTGCAATGGTTTCAACAACCATAGTACGGAGTTATGATGGCATGCAAGCATGATGAATGGCGCAACCACGATGATGGAACCAGGATGAAATCATGATGACATAAATGGAACACATGGTGACACACGGAAGGCATGGCGACACAACTGAAGGCATTTGAAATAGAGTTCACTTGTGGTACGTCTCCTGAAGTTCCTTCATGTCAGCATGCCTTTTAAATTGTCGAGTCACATAACAAGGATCGGAGTTTTAAACGTCTCGAAACTCAACCATTGGCAAGGAAAACTTGGACAAGGAAAACTCCATTTCTGAAGAGAAACGATACTTGAGTGCCTCTAATAGAGAATTCATGGTTACCCCATGCCTGATTAGTTTTGAGCAAGTGAAAAGGCCACTGACCTGCAGTCTCAGTCTGCTGAAAATGGGCGTTTCAAGCAGAAGCACCAGCTTGTCCATCTGTATAGATGGATATGCATACATGCACGTAATCATATGCACACGCACGTTCACAAAATCCACACACACATGCATGCACGCACAATACCACATCTTCAAATGCAATTGCATCATCAAAACGCCAACGTTTACTAACAACCTTATGGATCCGGAAAAAGAGAGGCTCCATGTATAAATGCCTCCAACTTGCCGCACTGCTGCTCGCCCAGTCTCTATTATCTACCACTTCTCTCCTGCCACCCACCTGCACCATGAGGCTGAGGGAGAGGTCGCTCTCTTCTAACACATCCACGATGCACCATGCACGTTCGTATGCCTGGGTGCTTGGCAGTGGGTGCCGGTACTACTATTTGTCTATCCCCCCCAACCCCCTCTACCACTTCTCTCCTGCCACCCACCTGTACCATGAGGCTGAGGGAGAGGTCGCTCTCTTCTAACGCGTCCACGATGCACCACGCATGCTCGTACGCCTGGGCCAGCAGGCACAGGCTCACCGCAGCTATGGGCGAGTGACACCACGCCGGGTACAGCGCCAGGAACAACCCCCTCCCACTGCACGCCACCGCTGTTGTTGCTGCTGGTGCTGCTGATGGTGCTCCTGGTGCTGTTGTGGGTGCCCTGCCCGTGGCAGCAACTTTTGATCCTCCCACTCTGCTTCCCCCCCCACCCCCACCCTCACTCGCAAGCACAGACGGGGGGGAGGCGGAGGAGGGAGAGGGAGAGAAAGAGTACCCAGCACCATCTGCTGCAGAAGCAGCAGAAGCAGCATGAGCGGCAGCAGCGGCAGAGAAAGAGGCTTGAGTCATCAGGCCAGCAGCAGAAACCGGCGGAGGAGGAGCAGCAGCGAAGGAGCGGCGGAGCTTGGAGCGGATGGGGGCGAGCTCGGGGGCGGTGAGGAGGATGAGGGAGAGCGTGGGGACGATGGTGGCGGCGAACTGACAGTCTGACTCGTTCTGCAGGATGAACGCCAGCTCCCTGAGGACCTTGTCGGCGTCTAGCATGGCGCACAGATGGCGGATGATGATGCTGCCCCGCCTGGGAAGGGCAGGCAGGGGGAGGGGGGGACGGTTAGAGAGTGGGGAATGAGCACGATGGTGGCGAGGAAATGGGAGCGGGACTCGTTCTGAAGGATAAAGGCCAGCTATCGAAGGACCTTGTCTGCGTCTAGCATGGCGCACGGATGGCGGATGATGATGCTGCCCCGCCTGTGGGGGAGTTGGGGGGAAAGT